TTGTCTGATCCTGTGGTCCTCCTGGACAGAAAGGAATAACGCGAAGCATAGGGATATTATATTTTCTTGTGCTCACATTACTTTGCAGGTTGACAGACACCTCTCTCTCCTCACCGCCCTGGGTAGACTCACGACGATAGACTGGACAAGTTGTACACCGCCCCACCGCCTAAGGCCACCACCCCCTCTGCCTATCCAGCACCCACGACCCAGGGCCGTTGTTTGGCTGAAACCCAAGCCTCCTTGGGTTAAGCTAAACACTGACGGTGCATTCGACAAACATACCAGAGCTGCTGGAGGGGGAGGCTTGATTAGGGACCATGGTGGGACACTCATCTCGGCCTTCCATGCCCCACTCCGAGCCTCCTCGAGCTACAATGCATAGATTCAGGCACTCCAGATTGGTCTTGAGATTGTCGCCTCGATCTCATCTCACATATGGATAGAGATGGATGCTGCAGCTGTCATAACACTTTTGATATCTGGCCACCAGGGCTCATGGTAGATCCAGCATCCCCTTATGTGTATCAGAGACACACTCTGCTCGATTCAGTACCAGGTCTCGCACATATACCGAGAGGGGAACTGCCCCGCTGATTTTCTTGCTAGTACCTGGACATCTATACCTCAGATATGCATCCTCCATCCTAAGGACATCCCCCTCTGGCTTCGGACCCTCATTCGGATGAACCAGCTGGAGTACCCCTCCTTCAGATTCAGACAGCCGCCACCACCTGATCCTGACTAGATATGATGTTTTGGAGCTCTACAACTGGTCACCTTGGCCTAGCCGATCTATCAGGAGGACTTGCTTTTGGACACATATTATACATTTTGTGATCTATGTATTTTCTGGTTTTTTTGTTTTGATGGTTTCATGTACTTTCGACATTGTTGTAGAATCTTGACTTATTAGCCCATTCAGGGCTATTATATTCACAGGTCGGGGGTGTAGCCTCAACCCCCACCCCACACTGGGGTGCGTTTTAAAAAAATAAATAAATAAAAAATAAGATAGAATAAAAGTAAGTATCGAAAAATTTAATTGAACTTAAATATTTTTTTTAAAAAAATATTTCTTTAACCTTTCATGCCATTTTAAATATTTTCTTAACATGAAAAATTCAGTTGTAGATCAATTATTACTAAGCATGAAATTTAAGTGAAGTTTAATTGTTCTTACTATATTATATTTGCATTTTAAAATTTTCAAATTATATAGGATCAAAGTTGCCATAAGATATATTAATAACACGCATCTATTTTTATAATTCGGTTCATTCTTCGGTTCGGTACGGTATGAGACGGTTCGGTTCGGTCCTCGGTACAGATATTTGTGAAATCTCCAGAACCATACCAATCATTTTCTCGGTTTGGTTCGATTCGGAGAAAGTCAAATGGTCAACGGTAATTTTTCGGTTCGGAGTGATTCAGTTCGGTTTTTGGAACAGTTCAAAATTCTCCGATTCCCATGCTCAGCCCTAGTAATGACATTGCCCCAAAAAAGTTACTAATAAATTTAACATTTACCACGTATTTATTTTTTCTTATTATATACGGGTTTATTGCACCAAATCCCCCTGTATTATACTAAATGTGCGTGTTTTCCACTTAAAATTTAAAAATTGCGTCAAGTCCCCTTGTATTAAGTGTTGGTCAGCTGACGTTCCCCAACTTGTGTCTGAGTGATAACACCATTACATATTTGTCAAACTTCCTTTATGTCCCCCATCATTTGAATTGGAGAACCGGTTTTGTCTCTTCAATTTTTCTCTCCTTCTCCAATTGGTGAAAACCCTTATTAAAAAAAAAAAGAAAAGCAAAGAAAAAATCAAACCTCAGATTCAGGGATGTGAAATCTCTCAAACTTTTCTCTCGCCCAAATCGCCGAAAACCTTGTCTTAGCCTTGTCGGTTTCGTTCACCTCTCTCGGCATTCGACGTGCGGGTAGACTGCGCACCGTCGCGCTTCTACGTCGCCTGCGGCTTCTCCTCCTTTCGCTCTCTGGCTACGGGGTTAGGATGGCATTTTTTCTGGCAGATTTCGTCAATCCGTCTCTGAAGAACCGCCGGAGCTCCTTGGTGGAGAGGCTAGGAGAAGTGCGTCCAGCGGCTGGAAGCGGCTCGTGCTCGGCGTCACTCCTTTTCTGGTCCCTCTTTTCCGGTCCTTTTGATGAGCTCGGCTCCCGAGATATGTGGATTTGCAGGTTTACACTCTGAATCTCCGTTCGCTGGAGTTCTGGTGTGGCTGCGGGTGTCCGGTGGTCTGTCCCTGAGGACTGGTTGGGGTGGTGGGTTTCGAGCCTTGGTCGGAGCGGCTCTCTTTTCTGGGCTGGAAGGGATCCCCGTTTGTGGGGCTTCGATTTTGGCCGGTGTTGGGCTTCTGGTTCCTAGGCTTGCTAGGGTTTGGGCAGGGCTCTATTCTTTCGGGCTTGGTGTTTTGATGGCTGTGTCGGGTCCCGATTGGGTTTGGTCCTTCGGGCTAGGTTGGCACGGCAGAGCTCTGAGGTCGTTCATCCGCTTCCTCCTCTTTCTCGGTCTTCTAAGGTTGTGCACTTTCGAAGTTGGCTAGTGGTGTTAGACAATTTTGGGACGGGTTCAGACTGGCTAGTGGTGTTAGCCGGTTGGTGGATGATTGTGATCTGTTGCGACCGGTGTGCGGGTCTGTTCTTTGGTTTGTTCTGAGGCTGGGGTAGCGTCTTGCTAGGCCTTCTGCAGTGGCGGGCGTAGTATCGGTGTTTCGGAGCTCTCCTCGGTGATGGACCTTTGTCTGCTGTCTCTTCTGGTTGTTTCTGCTGAGGGATGGTGTATGTTTATTTTTTAGTTGTAGGTTTTGTCTTGTGTGTAGCTTTGTTTTGATTGTGTTTGGTGTAGTAGGTTCGTGCTTTGGTTTGGGCGTTTTGCCCATGTGCTTATGTCGCGTGTTGTTTTATTTGAGTAGTTATGATTTTTTGGTTTGGGCCGTTTGGCCTAAGTTTCTCATTACTCCGTTGGGGTCGCTTTGTTACTCCGTTGGGGGTCGCTTTATTACTCTGTTGGGGGTCGTTCTATTACTCCGTTGGGGGTGTTTCGTGTTAGGGTCTTTGTTTTTAGTTTGGTTTAGTGTTGTAAGTGCTGAGGTCTCATAGCTTTGTCTATGTCTTGAGTGCTTTGTTAGTATTTTGTTCTAGGCCACCTGGATGGTGTGGTTCTCCACCTTGTTTTATTAGGACTAGTGAGTCCTCCGATTGTAATTTTATTTTTCTGCTATGAGAATTTCATCGTTTGGAAAAAAAAAAACCTCAGATTCAAGGGCAGATATGCAACATCTATGCGTATGGGCTATGGTTGAAGATGAGTTCTCCCAATAATATCTGACTCTATCCGCCGCCGTCACAGGAGGTCTCCCTTGATCTGTACGGCGACAGAGCCTTCATCACGGAAGGCGCAGACCACGTTGCCGAGGTCATCGGCGGCAATAATGAACCTGAGGGAGCCGAGGGTCTCCTCGATCGAGACGTCTGCATCACAACGGAAGGGGAGCTCCAGCAGCTTTGCGAAGGCCATGCGGTGGAGATGGAGGTGAGCATCACGGACAGTCGTGGCCGGCGATGCAGCGTCGTCTCCATCGTCACGACAGTAAAAAACCCCATATCTTTTGCTCTCTACATCCGAAATATTTCACCTTGACCAGTGCCGAAGGAGCTCCGGTGGCCTCTCCCTGTTCAGATCCGAGATCCTATAGCACATTGGAAATTCCATTAAATTTGGGGATGAAATTTTGGACTTTGTTTTAGATCTAGGGTTTAAAATGGAATTTAGGGGTGGGACCTGAAATCCCACAGTTCAGTAGACGAGGGGGGCGATGAACTCGGCGATGAGGGCTCGGTAGAAGGACTGGAGCTTGAGCTCGGCGACATCGAGCAGCAGTGCCGGAGGAGATACGATTTTTAATTTCTGTTCACATCTTGTATATTTTGCTTTGTTTTTCATTTATTTTTTTTATTTTTATTTTTTTGTTTTTAATTTTTATTTTGTTTTGATTTTTTGAGGTTAATGCAAGTGTAAGCGTCCTGGTCCGGTATGAACGGATAGATCTTGGTCCTCGCCGGTAGAACGCTAGAAACCTGCAAATAACTCTCACACCGGGGGTTGTGTCTGGTGAAGAGCCTCCGATGTAAGTCAGTATGAGTATAAGTATGCTGAAGTGAAGTATGGAAAATAGGATGTGTTCAAGGAGAAAGGCTCACCCCCCTTTATATAGGGGTGAGATACCTGCCCTAATAGTTGCCCGGATAAGGATGAGCTGGCTGCCCAAGCTGCCCGTCCGTACTCTGGCACGCCGCGCACATGCCAGAGGTGGCGCGGGGCGTTGGGAGCTGTCAGAGGTGGTTATCGCTATCACCCAATGCATTGTCGACACGTGTCCTCCCTGCACATGGGGTAAATATTCTCCTGGGATTCAGTTAGAGGCCCTTACGCGCGCCCGTGCTACACGCGCCCATGACTAGGTCGACTATTGGTTCCTCGAAACGATCGACCTGTTGAGGTCGAATAGGCTGCCCGATCATGTATTGGTCGAGCGATGGGTCGCTCGATCATTTGCCTGGTCGTGCGATGGATTGGTCGACCACCTGCCTTGTCGATTCCCTGAATGTTCGATCTTCCCGCCTTTTGGCTCGACTTCCTCTTGGTTTAACCTTCTCGACCGGCCAAGCAGACCGGTTTAGCCTTTTGTATATAATATCCCATATCATCTAGTCCCCCCCACTCTGGTCGAGTTTGAGAAATTTTTTCTCTCTCTTTTTTTCGAATTGGGCTTCTTGAACCTTACTGACTGGGTATCTTGATTTTGTGTATTGGGCGTTCTTGTTTGGTTGTCAATTGCTGTGGATTTTGCTTCCTTCTTCAAGAAGTCCCCTGAAATCTTTGTTCTCTCGCTTTAATTTCTACGAAGTCACCCCTCTCCGTAGAACCCTAGTTTTTCTCTTCTTGATTCCGTTTTTGTTGTTTGAATTTCTTTCTCTTCTTTTTTCTTTTTCAGATCCTGTGCCTCCATCTCCTTCCTCGACCACTTCCTCTGACTCAGTCCAGATACTACCTTCTGCACTTGAGGCCGTTCCCCTCTCGATTCTTCGCCCCGGTGATACTGTCCCTACCCGTGTTTTCATAGCTCGCGTTGCTTCTTCCAACTCCGGAGACACCATGGATAATATCCCTCTCCGCCGTCATCGACCTGCCTTTGGTTCGATGGATGAACCAGAGGAAGACGAAGCTATTTATTCTCAGCCCACTTTTCCCGCATCTTCGACCGTTCCTCCTTCTTCAAATTCTCCGCCCAAGCGGTCTTCGACCAAAAAACCTTCCAAGCGACCGTCTTCTACCTCTGTTTCTCACCCCTGGTTTAATCCTGAAAAAATCGGCCAACCTCTTGGTTGGGCGTTCATTAGATCTTCCCCCTCCGACAGATATGATCATCCTCCGCAAGATTGTTACCCTT